TCAAATTAGGAGGAGTAGCTAATACCCCAGAAGACTGGATGAAAATTCAAAATGACCTTAATAGATTAGAAAGCTGGGCCAAAGCTAACAAAATAAATTATAACACAAGAGAAATGTAAGGTACTGCACTTAGGGCAAAAAAAAAAAAAAAAAAAAAAGAAATGAAATGCATAGATATAAGATGGAAGACACCTGGCTTAACAAGACTACATGTGAAAGGGATCTAGGAGTCGACCACAAGTTGAACATAAGTCAACAGTGTGATGCAGCAGCTAAAAAGGCCAATGCAATTTTAGGCTACATTAATAGAAGTATAGTGTCTAGATCAAGGGAAGTAATAGTGTCGCTGTATTCTGCTTTGGTCAGGCCCCAGCTGGAATACTGTGTCCAGTTCTGGGCACCACAATTCAAAAAGGATACTGAGAAACTGGAGCATGTCCAAAGGAGGGCAACTAAAATGGTGAAGGGTCTGGAAACCAAGCCCTATGAGGAACGACTTAGGGAGCTGGGGATGTTTAGCCTGGAGAAGAGAAGGTTAAGAGGTGATATGATAGCCCTGTTTAAATATTTGATGGGATGTCATATTGAGGAGGAGCTAGTTTGTTTTATGTTGCTCCAGAGAATAAGACACAGAGCAATGGATGCAAGCTACAAGAAAAGAGATTCCACCTCAACATTTGGAGGAACTTCCTGACACTGAGAGCTGTTAGACAGTGGAACACACTCTCTTGGGGTTGGTGTAGGTCTTTAAACAGAGGCTGGATGGCCATCTGTCAGGGATGCTTTGATTTTGAGTTCCTGCATGGCAGGGGGTTGGACTGGATGTCCCCTGTGCTCTCTTCCAACTCTATGATTCTATGTATTTGTCAATTGTGCATCAGCTTGGGAGCCCTGGTAAGTCAAGGGATAATGAAGAAATGCTCTGAAAGACTCAGTGGTAGGGAATCATGGGAACTGTTGTTTATTGTGGCACCAGAGCTCTCTGACAGAGAAAGCTCAGTGTTTCAGAAAAAACTACAATTCCCATGATTGCCTAGCATTGAGCCAGGACAGGTAAAATGGTCTCAAACTGGATTATTTCTGGCAGTCTGTTCAGGCCCTCAGTGGATCGGTCTTACTTTCTGCTTTGCCTAGCAGCTGGTCTGCTGGGTTTCACATAGGAGCACCCCCTTGTCAGGACCTGTTGTCTTCCATGTGCCAGGCCCATGTTCTGCCTGGGTCCAATCCCTCACTGAAACTTAAGAAGCTGCTTTATGGTATACTGGGATTTGAACTTTGGTGAGGTCCTTTGAATTCCCACCTAGAGAGTTCTACTCCACTCTCTGAACAATGGCACGAAACTGCAAACCCCAGCGCTCTATGCATAGGAATGGCAGCTAAAGAGGTATCAAAATGCTACATCTGTATACTGCAGATCCATTGAATGAGGGAAAATTCAGAATACCAACACTGGGTCCCTTAGAAACAGGCATAGGCAATGGTAGGAGGATAAGGGGCTGCATTATCCTCCAAGGAGACTTTGGAGCGTCATACCAAACACATCATCCCTGCACCACAAAAGAATATCAACTTCTTTTTAGTCCCAGGTATCTCCAAACACCTTCTAGGGACTACTGGAGGCATTTCCAACATGTTTTCAGGTTCATACAGGCCATTTTAGCCCAGATTTTTTTTTCCACAACAGGAAATGAGCAGAATTCACTTCTTGTTCACTTTCAGTTTTAGAAAAGATCTCTCCTGGGTCAAAAATGCTCCTGGGGCAGGATATAGATAAAATGCCCCCCACAACCTTAGAGACCATTTGGAAGCAAACATATTTTTGTATTTTTCTTACCCTTGGGGGGCCAGAAATTGACCCTCAGAAGCCACCAGAGGCCAGTAGGCTGCACTTTTCCCACCTCATCTTACAATAAGGGATGGGGAACATCATTCCTTTCCATTAGCTAATTTGAATTGGGTTGCTGGGTAGAGCCCAACAACATCTGGAGGGCCAGATGTTCTCTACCCTTGCCTTAGAAAGTCAAGTCCCCAAGGGAAGCTTGTTCGTGAGTAATTCCTCTTGTACTTAAACAAAAAAATTTAATGTATATTATAAACTCTGTGACAACTAATTTGCTTTGCAACTGAGCACTGCTGAGATTCATGGTGAAGGGTGCTTTGCATTCATATAAGTGGTAATCATGCATCAAGCTGCATGACAAAGGTGATCCGAGGTGTTAGTGAAAAGTAGGAAGCCAGCACTCTGAAATATTTCCCATTCTCCCAGCTGTCAGTCATATTATAACAATTAAATGGCTCCTTCATCCCCTGCAATTTAGTTCCTCTCCTTCCCTTGTGTATCATTTATATCTTGGTAATTAAACCACCAGCTATGTAGCAAATAACCTAAACCAGAGAGGAGAGTAGATAGATAGCCTGTGTGTTTTCCTACTTGGGTGTTTTGTTTTTTTTTCCTAGACCTGTGGGTAGATTGCTGCTCTAGACTTTACCTATGGAGCTTATCACATGTGGTTAAAAAGGCAACTTGCTTCTTTTGGCTTGAATTTTCCGGGATGCAGTGGAGTACTATCCTATGTAAATTGCCACCAAATCTGCTGGCCAAATCCAGCCTGGGTAAATCGCAGCTCCCAAGCCGCACTCAGCTGGCCCTTTGTTGAAAACAGAAGTTTCCAACTTTGAAAATTGGCCGGCTGAACACGTCTTGAACGTGTGTCTTACCCGGTCTGTATTTGGCTGGCAGCATCATGGCAGAATCAGTGGAGACTTCTGTATGATAACACCCAGATGTATCCCAGGAGAAGATTCAAGCCGAAAGAGGCAAGTTGCCTTTTTAACCCCATGCAATAAGCTCCTATTTCTTCCTTTCTCTGAGATCACTTTCTTTAGACAGCAGGAGTTCCCATAATGGCTGCTGGAGCACTAACACATAGGCTGCATCTGCACTGCAAAATTAATGCAGTTTGACACCACTTTAACTGTCATGGCTCAATGCTATGGAATTCTAGGATTTGTAGTTTAGGAGCTATTTAGTCTTTTCTGTCAGAGAGCTCTGGTGCCACCACAAATTACAAATCCCAGGATTCCATAGGATGGAGCCATGAAAGCAGTATCAAACTGCATTAAGTTAAAGCGGTGTCAAACTGCATTAATTCTGCAGTGCAGAAACAACTATGGAAGCCAGTGTTAGGGATGTCTGTAACCAAGTTTAGGGACTTTTGCCTTTCTTTTCATTAAATGGATTTTCTGAAAGAATAAACATAAGTTGTTCTTTTTGCCTTATTACAAGCATCCAGAGTATTTATTCTTGTTTTGTAGTCATAGCGCCTTCTTTCTATATTCTGCTGGCATGTATATCAAATATTCTTATATTGTGAAGAACCAGGATGAAGCCTACCATAAGAAAGATTAATTTTCTGTATCTATTGAATCAATAGGCAAATATTATAACAGTGGGTCTTTGGTGTCCACTGAAGGTTGGTTCCAGGACCCACCGTGGATACTAAAATCCATAGATGTTCATCCCATATAATATAATGGCCTAGTAAAATGGTGTTCCTTATACAAAATGGCAAAATCCAGGTTTGCTTTTTAAAAATTATATATTTTTAAAATATTTTCAAGTCGTGGATGCTTGAATCCATGGATTAAAAAAAATGGATATGGAGGCCTAACTGTACATTGTGAACTATCATGGCCATGGATGAAAATGAAGCAGGGTGGTGGCATTTGGGAGAACTGATGGAGCACAATTGGAGACTTTGAAAATAAAAGTGAGAGCCCGATCTAGCCAGTAGAAGCAGGGAGTCCCATTTGGTATTCTGCTTCAGGAACCTGAATGCTTCCGGCTGCTGATGAGAAGGATCTGAAAGGAGCCTAAAAATCTCTATTGTGTCTTTTCACAGAGGAAAGGAGCGAAAGCAGGGATTCCCATGCTCCTTCTCCCTGTGGCAAGCCTGAAAAAGATGTTTGTGTGCTGTCAGGCCCTGATGAAGAGCCTCTGAGCCACAACGCAGAGGACTGCACACTGCTGTCTGACGTTCTCCTCTTGTCTGTGCATTGCTGTGCTTTCTCCCCTGATCAATTCCAGCTGTGAGGTGCATGTTCTGGAAGGCCCATAAAGTATTAGTAATGCTATCTCAGCTGAGCAGGGACTCTTCCCTTTCTTTCCCTCTCACCCTGTTCTCTTACTTGTCTCCTTTGTTCCAACTCTCTTTCTCTCTCCCCCCCCCTCCTTCCCCATATTCAAAAACCTCAATAGACTGCAAAAGATCCAGGTTTCCTCTGTTTCATTTATCAAAAGGAACTAGTGAATACACCTCAGATACAACCATGATTATGTTTTCTCTGCTGCTGTCTTTTGCATTCCCAATGCTGTAGATTTGGGGGGGGGGGCGGGTAGCAGCTCAAGTGGTTAAGATGCTGACTTTGTTCATTGCAAGATCGGCAGGTTGGCAGTTCAAGGCCCAGGTGCCGCATGATGGGGTGAGCTCCCATTACTAGTCCCAGCTTCTGCCAGCCTAGCCGTTCAAAAGCATGCAAATGCAAGTAGATAAATAGGTACCACTTTGGTGGGAAGGTAAACAGCATTCTGTGCAATCATGCTGGCCACATGAACACAAAGTAATCTCTGACGACAATGCTTAGTAGTGGAGATGAGCGCCACCCCCTATGGTTTGGACACGACTTGACAACCTTGTCAATGTGTAATACCTTTACTTTTAATGATACAAACTACTGCCAATGTGGTATAGTGGCTTGAGCTTTGGACTGAGACTCTAGAGACCAGGTTTTGAACCCTTGCTCAGGTCTTGGAAACCTATTGGGTGTCCTTGGGCAAGTCACACTCTCTCAGCCTCAGAGGAAGACATAGGCAAAACCCCTTGGAAAAAATCTTGTGCATGGAGTTTTCTTGAGAATATTTGTAGAGATGAGGTTTGGCATTGCCTTTCCACGAGGCTGGGAGTGTGTGACTTCCCCAAGGTCACCCAGTGGGTTTCCATGGCCAAACTGGGAATCAAGCCCTGGTTTCTAGAGTCACAGTCCAACATTCAAACCACTACACCATGCTGGCTCTCATATCCTGGTTTGGTAACTGCCAGTCCTTGGTAACATCTATTTCCCATGTTTGGATGACAGAGGAAACTCTGGTTTGTTACAAAGTGTTACTGGAAAATGTAGCTTCTCTTCCTGTATCGGGCAAGTCACATGCTCTCAGCCTCAGAGTAAGGCAATGGCAAATCTCCTCTAAACAAATCTTGCCAAGAAAACTTAATTTTTAGACTCTTGATTTGCCTTGGAAATTACTTGAAGGCACAAAACGACAACAACAACAACAACAACTACTACTACTACTACTACTACTACTGCAACTGTTTTTGCCTGTGGGAAAAGAAAACAACCGTAGCTCCAGTAATGATAGGTGTGCTCCAAAGAGACTGACAAGACATCTGAATTAAATCAGCCTATTTAGGCTTGCCAGAGCACCATTATAAAAAGTGACCCTGCTTGTAATGTGACACATTATTCAACTCCTCTGGGATAGAATCTGAATCATTG